ACAATTTCAGCCCAAATTGTCTCACTCTTTCAATGTGTTCCATGTAGATGTTCCATGTGTTCTGCCTCTGTTTTACTAAACACCAACAAGTCGTCCATCTAAATTTGGCACACCGTTTCGTCAATCCCCCTTAGAAACTCGTCCAGCAGTCTCTGGAATGTTATAGGGGCATTTTTGAGTCCAAATGGCATTCTCGTGAATTCGTAGTGCCCTCTCTCGAACGTGAACGCTGTCTTCGCCTGGTCTCTCGGGTGCATTTTAATTTGGTGATACCCCGCTTTTAAGTCTAGAGTGCTGAACACTGTTGCCCCGCTTAACCTATCCAAACGATCCTCAAACTTTGGGATCGGGTATTTCTCATCTACGGTGTTCTCATTGAGTTTGCGGTAATCTATGACTACCCGATATTTCTCCGTACTATCTCCCGGCGCTCTTTTCTTCTTTAGCGCCCATAGTGGACTATTATACGGTGACGTGCTGTCCACAATTATTCCCTGCTCCTTCAAGCTTTGTATTTCCTCCATGATGTGTTGGCGAAGAGCTTGCGGATATCTCCTCTCCTTCATATAACTCACCTTCTCTTGTTTCAGCGGAATCTCATGTACCGTCCTCTCAGTCGCGCCCAATGTGTCTCCTTCCTTGAAGAAAATATCTTCAAATTCCCTCCTCACAGCCGATCTCCAATCCTCCGCTCGACATATCGCTCCTATACACGCTCTCCAGTCCTCTTTCTTTATTATCGCTTTGCTCGTGTACTTAATTTTACCTATCTCTACTTTCCACGTTTCCCCTTTGTTCGTGATTCGCGTACCCATCTTTCCCAACATATCACACCCTATAATCACTTGGTATTCCCGGGCCATTTCTGCTACCACATGCACCCTAAGATTGCCTCTCTTTGCCGCCCACCTCCATAATCCTATCTCTGCTTCCCCCTCTACTCTACACGGGCCACCCAGGGTGATTAATTTGCAGTTACATACCTGTAATTGGAGTGTCCTTCCTCCGCCATACAGCTTTTCCAACGCTCTCCAAGTCATGATCGTATTGGAACTCCCGGTGTCCACCAAGCACCGCACTCCCCCTGTCACCTCTATTATAGGCAACTAGCAGCTTTCCCCTCTAATCTTATGGTTGACTAGCGTGCGGTCACCCCTCGGCTGCCACTCTCCTCAGATCTTCTCCTCAGCTCGACGCCGTCCGCTTCTTCCGCTACTCCTTCTCCCCTCTCTGCTCCTCTCATTCTCCCTGCCCGTTGGCTCGTCCCGTTCCTCTTCTGTCTCAGTGGTTGCTGCCGACTCTTCCGTAGAGTCCCTCGATGAGTCACTCCTCCTCGACTGCATACTCCTTCTCCTCAACCGCTGAGCATTTACTTCCATCGCCTCTCCGCGTTGCGAGTCTCGTCACGAGTAAATGTATGGACACTGCCTTGCAATGTTTCTTTCCGTCCCACACTCAAAGCATTTCGTGCGGGGACATTGTGCCACCAAGTGTCCACTTTTCCCACAGCCGTGACATTTCCGGTCCTCTTTCCTCTGGCTGGTTCTTGTCCTGCCTTGCCCTGGTCTACGCTCGCCTCCTATCTGTTTCTCCCTACCATTATACGCCGAATCCTTCCTTTTCCATCCGGTTGGTGTGCCCTCGGCTTTCTCTAGAACACCCTATTCCACCCCGGTTCCTCAGTCTCTACTCGGGCTTCCTCTTCCCTGTCGCTGGAATCTACCATCTCCAGGGCACATTCGATGAACGAGAGCTCTCTGGGTAAGCCATCCTTCTTTCTGGTCTCCTTTGCTAGCTGCACCTTTAATATGGTAGACAAGAAGGCCATCTTGGCCTCTACTTCCGGAGCACCCGCAGTTTCCCTCATCTTCTCCGTAATGCGGTTATAGTGAGCCAAGAGTGTACCGGCATACTGTCCATTCGACTGCCTTCCGGATTTCGTCTCTCGGAACATCTGAAAAATATCTTCCTCTGTGGTCCACCTGCCGCCTCCGTATGCCTTCTTCAACCTTTCCTTGACGGTTTCCCACGGTGTTTCTTCGTCCGCTTGGATATGGTTCAAGATGCTTCTCTTGACCCTGCATACGAGAGCCGCCTTCAGGGCCTCTGCGTCCCCAGCGTTGACGAGGTTTTCATCGATCTTCACATTTATCCTTGTCATAATTCGATCTCCACCCTTGAGAAAATGGTTTCTCCTGTGAAGCGCTCGAGATCAGATACCGCCTTCCTCAGGTCTTGTGACGTGGCTACTCTTATCTTCATCCACTCGATCGCGTTTGCATGTGCCGCAGCGAAAGCTCCCTGCGGTAGTGGAGGGATCCGGTACGTTCATAGGAGCCGGCTGCCTCAGATCCAATTCAGGCATCTTCGTGAAAAATTTTCCTGTTCACCAAAAAAAAATACCGTACCCCCGCACTCTCAATTCTCCCGGGTTTCGGCACCAGTTAAGTGTCTCGGACTTGTGACAATAAAAAAAAAGAGAAAAAGGTCAACGAAATGAAACGCATGAAGTCGAAATCAATACTAGTTTATTGTTGCTTCTAATCCTCTATATATACAGTTAGATCATGTTTACATCGGTACGTTTAGTATTAACGCTAATACTGTGCCGCTCCGTACCTTAACTTATATATATATATATATATATATATATATATATATATATTATATATATATATATATATATATATATATATATATATATATATATATATTCTCTCTTCTTCATAAACATGGACAACATGAATGTGGATGAGAACTCTTCAAGCGAGGATTCAGAAGGCGAGACGCCCTTTGCCGAAGTTAGCAAAACTGACTTGCAATATTTAAAAAGGCGTACACTTCAGAAAAGCCACCGTAACTCTGTCCCTGGGTCGGGGGGCAACTCATATAACAAAAAAAAAATCGACTAAACCCAAACAATCAAATGATCAAAATAAATCTACTAAATCAAAACAGTCAGCTGAAGAAAATAAGTCACCACCTCTAACCAGAAGTAAATCAAATGCCACGAAATCAGAACCAACTCAACAAAGCACCACAACTAGCAATAATTCTGCCACCGCAAATAACCCTACTAAAAAGTCCCCGGAGCCTCAACAATTTTCTGACTCCGAACCGCCACCGATTTCCGTTTCCAAAATTGATCTATTCTTCCCCATCATTTACCCCTACGGGTCAAATTACCGCCACAGCATCCTCATCCATCCCATCATGTTCAAACAAAACCCGCACCACAAGTACCTTCGAATGCAGACCTCCCTCGTACACAACGACGGATCCTGCCCTCAGCTAACACTCCTAAGCATATTGACCATCCATCACAATATCCTAACCCAAATCCACAAAATAAACCCCTATTCAACATGCACCTGACATAACTACGATCCTTTCATCCTTCCTATTAGATCTACAGGAGACAATTAAACCTCTCATAACACTTCTCACCAGAATCCTGACCGAAATCCCGTTTACTTTTCCGCGATGAGTGGAAAGCCCCTAGCTATCATTTTATGGAATGCTAATGGACTACATAACCACCGTGACAAACTTGACATATTTCTTCATGACAACCATATTGATATCGCTCTACTGACTGAAACTCACTTCACTCAAAGGACCCAATTCCGCAAACGTGACTACATCACTTACCGATCTGACCACCCAGACAACACTTCCCACGCTGTTTCTTGCATCCTTATACATAAATCTATATCCCACTCCCTTATTCCTTCCACTCCAACTGATGCCGTTCAATCCACTTCCATAATCCTTTCAACTCGCCCTTTCCACCTAACATTCTCAGCTGTATACTGTCCTCCCGGTAATTCCCTTTCTTATACCTTTCTTTATTCCTTATTCCAATCCCTCGGATCGCGCTTTATTGCTGGAGGAGACAACAATGCAAAACACCAACGATGGGGTTGTCGTACATCGAACTCCCGTGGTAACATCCTTTCACGTGTTTCTTGTTCCAATAACTATTCTATCCTCTTGCCCATGAATCCTACTTATTGGCCAACATCTCCCAAAAAACATCCCAATATCCTGGATATATGTATCACCTTCCAGATTTCTTTGTCGAGGTATGTAAAAAGCAGAGAGGCAGTATGTGCAAGTTATCAGAAGGCCTCGACAGTGTTCAGTATTGAAGGGTTATGATGACTGAAAGGTGAAGGAAAGTGAATAGACGGATAGCCTCGAGTGACAGGCGGATCAGCACCCAATCACTCTCGGCTTGCGGTGCAAGAGATCAGCCTTAACACTCCGCAAGGATGGTTACCACAACCGGAGGGATCAAACTCCGGACTTGTGGGAGGATGAGTTACTGCCAGAGGGATCAATCTCCAGACACAGTAAATAGGACTGCAAGCGGACGGATCAGCGTCCAACTTACATGAAGTAAGAGAAGAGGAAAAAGGTATGAGGATAATGTTAAATAATAAGAGCAGACTATTGTGAACCAAAAGATGACCATGAGACATATACTGACCAGTCTCCACCCTGAAGGGGTGGAGCTCCGTAGAACTGACAATTTGAGGTTTGACTGGCGTATTCATTCAGCCAAGACCAAACCGGCTACCAAGAGCCGTTACTATAATAGTTATTTTGAGCTTTAGTCAGTATATGTTATCGCCATTACAATTTAATAATAAAAAGTATTTACAATGAATATGCATATTTCAATTTATAATTTTAGTCATTTATAATACAACAATGAGAAATAAAAAATACAATTTTGGTATGTTGCACGGGCGAGCTTATAGAGTGCTCCCAGGTAGCGGGAAGGCGAACTCGTTCCTGGTGGTGAGAACGGAAACTGTTGCCGTGGGAATCTGTTGCCGCTACAGGACTCCCCTCCGAGATGACGGAGTCATTAGTGAAGTCGAGATGAATAGTCCAAAGGATGTAGCTGTCCCCCACCTTAAGGTCCAATATTGATTCCAGTATTAGTTAGGTGTTTGTTTGGGGTAATTTTATATTTGTGCAGATGTAGGCGTTTAAGCTGTTCCACACTGTTGATAAGCACTGCCTAGAAGATCTGTCCCAGAAAGTTGTTGAGAGAACATCATACATGCCGATTGGAGCCTTGAGGGTGATGTAGCGGATGCCTTCAGTGAGTCGAGGTCTAGTTCACGCCGTGTTTCACCAATTGAGGGCAGGTCGGCGGGATGGCTACAACTGTGGTGGACCATCGCTGCGCCAGTTGGTGCCAATAGCGGGCAGAACTGCGAGATGGTTACAACTGTGGTAAACCATCGAAGATGATTGCCATTAGTGGGCAGTTTAGCGGGATATCTCCGGTTCGAAGTATCACTGCGCAAGTTGAATGCCAAGTGAGGCTGGTTGGCAGGATGTCTCAGTTTTGTCTGTAGGACAATGGTACCCATGGTACGGCAGGCGTTGGTTGCATTTGTGCAATTGTTGTAGTCCAGTTGGGCATGATTGAACATCCTAAGCGCGTTCCTTTTTCTTCATGAGGATATTCTGCTGGTGCTGTGAGCCTTGTCCACGTTGTGGTGACTACAAAATTTAAGGGATGATTTAGCCTTGCAGAGATTGATTCTAGCTCCTGTTGGTAAAGTTGAGTGCAGCTGTGTTAGTAGACTTCAGACCATAGTCCAGTTCTGCGTTTACTACACTCAAACTTTGTTCCTAAGCCCTTAAATCCAACCCTGATTACAGGACGAGTTTACTGAGACAGATTTCGTGATGATTTGGAAAACAAACTAGACTTGAAAATTCCGCTAAAGACAAAACAAGATATTGATAATGCCATAGACAAACTTACTGTATCAATAATAGCTAGCATTAATAAAAATACCTATACCAGTAAGATGAACAATTCACAACAGACTAACTTGCCATAGCATATCCACATCTTATTAAATGAAAAACGCAGAGCAAGATCGAAGCGGCATAGAACTAGATATCCAACAGATAAAACTCATTACACCCAACTGATTAACAAACTAAAATCAGAAAATACAAAATTCAAAAGTTACTAAATTTTACTGAAAACCTTACACCTACCGACAAATCACTATGAACGACCACTCAGGAAAGACTCAGGAAATTTAAAGACTGTAACCATCCACTTCTTACCGACGCTCAAACCTGGTCTAAATCCGACGAAGAAAAATCCCAAATTTTTGCTCACCATCTCTTCAAAACCTTTAATCCACATCCTGACATCCTTAGTCCAAGACATCTTGAATATATTGATGCAGAACTGGATATTCCACTCCGAATGACTACTCCTCTAAAGCATTTCATCCTCCAGAAATATCCAATATTATACACCGATTACCCTTTCCGCAAAGCTCCCCTGGCCACGACCTAATCACATCCCATATCCTTAACTACTTCATCGAAAGCATTCTATCCTTACTTACATATATAACGCCGTACTCCGTTCCACATACTTTCCTGACCCTTGGAAACTATCTATTGTCAAAATGATTCATAAACCCGTCCTATCTCTCTTTTACCCATCATGGGCAAAATCCTGGAAAAACTCACCATAAAACGCCTGTTTCCCATCCTAGATTCTAACCACATAATCCCCGATCACCAATTTGGATTCCGTACATCCCATTCCACTATCCAGCAATGCCATTGTGTGGTAGACGTTGTCTCCTCTGCATTGGAGCACGGATTGTATTGCACTGGATTCTTTCTCGACGTTGAACAGGCGTTTGATCGAGTCTGGCACCCGGGATTGTTCTATAAACTCCGTAAATTTCTCCCTCCCCCCCCACATACTTTCTCATTATCAGATCCTACCTTACTGATAGACACTTCAAAGCAAATCATAATAATGCCTATTCATCTCTCTTTTCTCAATCTGCTGGTGTTCCACAAGGTAGTATCCTTGGTCCTATCCTTTACACAGTTTATACAGCTGATATCCCAACCCATCTAACAGTGTTAGGTTATCACCACCTATGCCGATGAAAAATGTATCTTTCAGTTAATAACGATCCATCAATTGCATCCCAAACTCTTCAATCACACATCATAAACCTTGAAGAATGGTGTCAAAAGTGGAGGATTAAAATAAATTTATCTAAATTCCAACAAATGACCTTTACCCTCCGTCGTAAACCTATGACTTCCTGTCCTACAGTATCCTTTAATAACACCCCACTTATCCCTGTTGAACAAATACAATATCTTGTACTCCACCTGGACAAACGTCTCACTTGGAATCCTCATACAAGAATTCCTCTCGTATCCAATCCTTACAATCTAAAATCCTTCATAAAACCCTCAATGCTCCTTACTTTGTCACAAATAAAATAATCCATAATGACCTTAATGTTCCATATATTTCCGATTTGGCAGAATCCAGATACCTATCCTTCCATAATAAACTTCATAACCATCCGAATCCTCTCGTTTCTATTCTTGCTTCCTCTTCGATTCCTGATAACCCTCCGAGGCGTCTGAAAAGAAGATGGCCCCGTGATCTCCTTATGTAGATATATTATTAGAGTGCTACCTGTAGGTAATTACTGAACAAGCGCTTTCAAGTGATAATATTCTTGTGTACATATTTACTTGATGTATTTATATTGCAATTCAGTTGTAAATATCTTGAATAAATAGTTTTAAAAAAAACAAAAAAACATTTGGTGAAACTGGAATCACTGCAGAGGGAGGGAATCTGGAAGGTTCATAAAAGGAGAGTTTACAAAAGAGTAGCCATTTAGATTTGGAATCGGGAGATGATGAAAGGGCTTCATGGAAATTGGTAAATTTGGCTCGTCGGATTGTGGTTTGCACGGGCGGATCTACGGGAGGGGCTTTCGGGCTGAAGCCCCCCCCCCCCAAAATGGAAAAATATAACCATGTTTTATGGGAAAAAAAATTAAAAATACCTCTTAAGGTATTATTGTTCGTGTAAATGCATTTAAAAGTACTTAAGGAATAACTTAAACACCATTTCATATAGGTTGTTAGTTTCTTTCTGTTTTTCCAAAGTAATTATCGTTATTTTTATGAAAAAAAAAGGTTTCGGGCTGAAGCCCCCCCCAAAATTAAATCCTGGATCCGCTAGTGGTGGTTTGTGTCAGGTTCCTGACACATCCAAGAAGCAGGAAGGCGACGAAAGGAGGAGGTTTTGAGAGGGCCATGGTCATCATCATATAATTGTCTTTTTTTACATTTTTTTTTAAATATGAACAATCTAGCCAAAAAATATAGATATTACAGTTATTTAAAACCATTTTTTTAAATTTAGTGTGCGCTAAATCCAGTACACATACATCCTACACCAGGTGCCCTAAAGGGAAGTGTCAGTAATTTATGGGGATATAAAATATTGAAAATGTAGTTCTGTAGTGTCAACTGCACATTGATATCTCAATCTGTTGTTGAGATATGATATTTTAAAGTGATTTTCCAAAAACCACGTTTTTTACTCATAAAAATCCAAATTTCTCTGAATCTTTCTCAATATTATTCACTATTTCTGGAATTTAATATCAATATTCTGTAAAATAGCAACCAATTTGTAGGAAAATATTGCTTTGTTAGGCTATCATACCCAAAGTGAACCAGTAAAAATCTGGTGTGTTGCGCACATCACACAACTTTCACTTACCATCCTTTTGTTAAAAGTAGAAATAGATATTTTTAGTGTGAAAGTAAAAATTATGGATGGTGCAAAATGTAATTTAAAACAATTACCATATGTTTTTTTGTCACAAATCAATTCCTTTTACGACTGTATATTTTTATTATTATAATAAATGACCAAATACCACAAAATATTTTTAGTCCGACAAGAGTACCACTGATAAAGAAGGCCATTATATTTATTAATATTTCATTGTAGGAATTTTAATTTGTTTAAGTATTGGTATATGTAAAAACTTTATTTTTTTTATTGCTGCAATCTAAAACAATTAAATAGTAAATAATACCAACGTTAGCATTTATGAAAACCGCACAAGTATACGAGGGGGGACCCAAAAGTAACGGGAATTGGGTTGCGATGGAGAGGGAGAGAGGGTGAACCCATTGTTCGACCTGGTGTCCGTTAAGGCCGGTCCACACGCTCCGTTTTGCACAACGTTTTGTCTGCGCAGTTCAAAACGTTGCAGATAAAACGTTGCGTGTGGACTGGAAAACAGTGCAGTTTTGAATCCATTTGGAAGACGGTACAGTCTTAGTAAAACTGAGCCAGACAGCTCAGATTTCCTTGAACTGCGCAGGCAAGTCGGCGCATGTGGACGGTAGCACCGTTTTCCGATCCGTTTTGCTACTCAGTTTCAATCCGTCGGGTGACAATGGCTGACCTTCGGCAATGTTCTAGGGAGTTTTTAACTGATTTTATTGCTCTGTATGAAAGTTTCCCGTGCATTTGGCGTGTAAAATCAAAAGAATACAGTGACAGGGATAAGTAGGTGGAGGCGTATGAAATTTTAGCTAATAAATCTTAAAGTTGCTGTTAGCCTTTCATGTGCTGATATTGCTGTTCTCATACAAGTATTTTCTTTGTTGATATGCGGTGTCACCAATTCCAATAAATAAGTATATGTGTCAATGTCCATTCGTAAGTAGTTCCGCCAATCATTAGGTTCATCACGTAATTCACGCAATAATTTGATATGGGAAAAGTGCTGCCTTTTTAGAAGCCACTTCCGCGACCACTTTGAACGCCGTGTACTTCTGAGATGTTCCAATCTTTTTTTTTTAACAACACACATCGCGAAAATCGACCAGAGTAGTACCTCCTCCATGGCGATATCACACAAAACTGAGCAAAATATACGGATATGTCTGTGCCGTGTGGACGCTCTGCAAATTGCAACGTTTTCATTCCGTCTTAAGACTGCGCAGACAAAACGTTGTGCAAAACGGAGCGTGTGGACCGGCCTTTAGGGACAAGTCTTCTGAGTTAGTGTGCGTAGTTGTGACGCTGTGAGTGCATTGGATCGCCCTTGGGAATTTTTTTAGTGATACAACTTTTACCATTTCGCCGAAAACGTGATGTCCGATAGTCGAGAGTAACGCACTGCTGTGAAATTTTGTTTCCTGTTGGTAAAATCGGCCACGGAAATGTCTACTGTAATGCTTAAAACTGCTTATGAGGATGCTGCCCTAAGTAAAACCAGAGTCTACGAGTGGTTTTCACGTTTTAATAATGGAGAAATTTCAATTGAAAACTAACCCCGTGCAGGACGCCCCTGAACATCAAGAAGTGGTTGAAACGTCAACAAAATCAATGGAAGGATCGTTTGGAGAGCTGTGTTGTGGTCAAGGGAGAATACTTGGAAGGAAATCAAAATTTGGTGTAAAAATATTAAGAAATAAAGTGGTTATGACAAAATTCTCGTTTTTTTTTGGGGGGGGGGGGGTTTTCCTCGTATGTATATAATATTATGGGGGCCCGTATTTTATTAAGCATGTTACCTATAGAAGCCTTTTAAACCTCTCAGCCAAG